ATCTCTGGCGAGGTACTTCATCATTGCTGAACATCTGCACCTTCATGATAAAATGAAGATTATGATACATTACTCTACTAATACGTAACTTTTGGGGTTTTGTAAGAGTCGGAAAGGTAAAACAGTACAGTCCTGTCTCACAGTGTGAACTTGATAAATGGGCTTTCTAACAGTTAGGCGCAGAGATTCTGATTCTGGGTAAAATGGAGTAAGCACGCTTCTCCCTGTCTCTTCCACGGAACACAGTGATGAAACTGCTCAAAATGTGTGGCGCATCTATGAGACGACTCTGAAAATGAGCAGTAGCAGGAGAATTGGGGAAGAACACAAGAATTTGAAGTACTTGTAAACTGGCAATAAATTGACCATTTTCCCCCCTCTGATTATTCCTTTTCATAAACACAGTGGGAGCCTGAAATCTGGAAATGGGCATAGGGGAACAGAGCTGAGCTCCAGGAGATGCCCTTCCTTCCTGGTGTGAGAAGCAGGAAAGCGAGCTCTGTCTAACGTCAGAGTGTGGAAATCCTCCATTTTTTCCTTCCTCCTAATTTCCTTACACCGCAGCCTATAAGCAGTCCTGTAATAGCAGCAGATGACCAGGAGCCAAAACTCTGAGGAAGGGGAGCTTTCTTCTTTATCACTGAGCCGGGATCCTAAAAGAGAGGGGTGAATCCTTGTTGCTTTTTTCTCTGCTCTCCCACTGACTGGCCTTTGCCCTGGAAGTGTGCTGGGAAGTGGGGTAACTAGAGAGGAGTGCTAGGGAAGTGGAAAGAGGTTGTACAGAAGGAAGTGCTTCAGAAAGTGGTGTTTAAAGTTGTTTGTGAACTCCTGCGCTCACACCTGAGCTGTGCATGCATTGATCTGATCCTAACCAGGACACCAAAGATGCTGAGAGCTGTGTTAGCAAACAGACGACTGCCCAGGCTGCAGCATGACCACGAAGTGGGGCACAGGTGGGCCCGACTCAAAAAAGCACTGCAAAGGCTTTGAAAGCTGAACTAATCCTAGAACCAAAGCACACAGAAAGTGGGTTGCGACTTGCAGCCTGGTGAACTGCTTGCTAAAAACAATTACAACAAAAAATTTTCTGTAGGATTTAAACAAGCCCCAGAGGCTTGTAACATAATACTCAAAGTGTCCAGGATACAATCCAAAATTACTCAGCGTATGAAGAACCAGAACTTGTATGAGAAAATACAATCAATAAATGCCAATGCCACGAGGGCACACATGTGGGAATTAACTCAGGAAAACTTGAAAACAGCCACTATGAAAATACTCTAACAACCATCACAAACCCTGTTGAAATCATTAGAAAATGTCCAGCAAAGAAATAGAAGACATGAAGAACAAAGTGGACATTTTAGAACTGAAAAATACAACTGCCAAATACAGGAACAAACACCTCACTGACTGAGCTCAATAGCGCTCAAGGAGGTGACAGAGGAAACAGGGAACATGGATAAATAGAAAGTACTCAGTCTGAACAACAGAGCGAAAAAAAGATAACCCCTTCCACAAAATGAAAGAGCGAGCAGCTCTTCAGGGACCTGTACGGGATGAGAACAAAAAAAGTCTAATATTTATGTCATTGTTGTCCCAGAAGGAGAGGAGAAAGAGAACATACTGAAAACATTGTTGAAGAAATTATTTCTTCCATTATGTCTGGAAACTCCTCAAATTTGGTGAAAGATAAAAACCTACAGATGTAATAATTTCAGCAACCCCCCCTCAAAAGATAAATCCAAATAAATAACATGCCCAAACATGTCAGGATACTACTGCTGAATGCTGAAGACCAAGAAAGATACGAAAGTACCTAGGGGAAACGATGTGTTACTTTGGGGGGAACACTGACTCAATTGACTGCACACTCCTGGTCAGAAACTACAGAACCCAGTGAGGGGTAACACAACATGTTTAAAGGGCCAAAAGGAAGGCACTCTCAACCCAGAATTCTGTATCCAATAGGAAGATCCTTGAGAAATGAAGGTTAAGTGTATATTCTCCCTTACCCTCCCCACGCTTTCCCATCCTCCCTTTTTTTTTATAAAAGAATTTTTTACTTTGCATTCTTTTTTTATTGAAGTTTGATCAGTTTATAATGTTGTGTCCATTTCTGATGTACAGCATAATGTTTCAGTCGTACATATACATACATGTATTCCTTTCATACTCTTTTCCATTATAGGTTACTACAAGATATTGAATATAGCTCCTTGTGCTAGAGAGTATAAACGTGTTGTTTATCTAGCCAGCCTTTTTTGAACAAACACATGCTTTCTTATTTCTGTTGGCGGGGAGGATAGTGCCCACTTGGAATAATTCACACTTATTTAGTGCTTAGTATATTAAGCACTTTTACATGCATTGTTTTATTGGGTCCCAAGCAACACCCTTTTTTGAAGTACCTAAAGCACAGTTAGGACCACAGCATTTGAAACAATCTCCCTAGAAACATTTAGAGTGTTGGCAGAACTGAAGACAGAAGGCTGATTACTTTGACCCACTATTTAACACCAACTTTCAAAAAGAAAGGAGGTCCAGTTAAGTCCAACTTAGTGCATCACAGTCACCACAGAGTGCAAACACTAAGTACTCTTTTTGTAGCTTATAGTATATTCAGGGTGAGACCGTGTTTATAAAGTTAACACGCGATCTACTGAAGGCACTTGCTTTTTCTTGAAATGACTTATTCCCTCA